AAAGATTTTGTGTTTCTTTACGCAATAATGACTCATTTACAAGCTTGGTTTTATGAAGGAAAAGCCAGGAGGAAGATAAAAGAGAACAGTGATGAACATATGGCAATCAGAGGGATAGAAAATATAGTGGCCAAAGGGACAAATGGAGAAAGGGATAAAAGTGAAGGGGAAACAACCAACAATTTCCACAAGTATTAGAACTTCCCCAGCAAAACAATATTCATATAATTCAACTCTCTAGAAGTCTAATTTAGCTAGCTAGAATACTATAATCAGTGAACAGAAAGACTCCTCTAAAAGGAGATTCAGAATAGAAGACCTTTATTATAGTCAGTAATTAGGCATAAATATAGCCAGATGATGTGAATACTTTCCTTCAGTCTACACTTGTGTTACACCAATCTACATCTAGAGATCTGTTTAATGCAATGGCTTTGTAGGTATGAAAAGTGCCAATAGGCCTGTTAAGAGAAGCTTCTGATCTACACAGGCAAGGACAAAGGCTGTAAGAAAATAGGGTAGTCACTTGCCCAAAGACAAACTGTAAATAAGTGGTATAATCATGAGTAAGAAGGTCTGACCAGCCCTAACTATCCAGCATCTTACCCTAGCATTTAAGGTTGTAAAGAATTCCAGGTTGAACATGTTTTCCTCCTTCTTACATCTCACAGAAATAAATATGATTAAAAGAATGCATTTGTTCTACTGTGCAACTCAACTTTGAAAGACAGAATAACTTTCCAGCAGTCCTCAAAATTCTCCCGTTGTCCCAGTATAAACCAGAAAGCATCTGACTACTCATATAGGGTTTAGTAACATACCAAGCCCAAACAATATACACTGATCATGTGAGATGCTTTTGTCTGCTTGGCATCACTGGTCAGCAAAAGTTCTCTACAGAAAGCAGCAACTCCTGTGTCCAGTGCAGCCTATATTCTTTTCTCTAGGATGCAGACAACTGGCATTACAATGCCATTCAAAGCTTAACATGGAAAACGCTGGCACATTCACACACTAATCCTCCCCAAACCTAGTTACTCAACCTTCCTAAAATCAGTCACGCAAGAAGAGCGTTTGAAATACTAAACTGAGAGGAGTCCACATCATTCAATATTTCCGAAATTACAAAAGAATCTGCACTGTTCAGTGTGCTCCTACAGAAGTCAGAAGTCTAAGGAAGTATGGCCTTGGGATAGTTGCTTTTGCTGTTCCAGTTGGTGATATCAAAACACTAGAGTTGGAGAAAAGTTTGTAGCCGCAATACAAAAGCTAAAGCAGTCACTAATGCTGCAGCAAGGCCTAATGCAAATATGTTGCCAATCCGTGCATTTCACAGCATCTATTCTGTCTCAGGGCTAATTGATCTTAACTTATACTCTGCAAATACAGTGTGCACTAAAAAGTGGTTAGCATGAAACTTAACAGCATCAGGCAGTGACTAAGAGTGACTGCAATAGCTCAGCTGATCAAAGTACAGAAAATTGCATTTAGAGGAAGCTAAAACCATGAGAGCAGAGCAACAATATCTTTTTGGGCAACAGCATTTCCCGGAGTTTCAAATACCAGTGGAAGATTGCAAGTTCTTTAAATTGAGGCAAGGATAAAATTCCAGGCAGCTACAATTGTAATTAACTTCCTAAAATTGCAATTAGCCTGATTAAATATTAAATACCTACATCCAATAGGGCAGTTGCTTTTGGTTTTTGAACATGTATACATACACACATATTATTTGTTTATATACACATGTGTATGCTGAAGCTGGAGATGAATGTCCGGTAGCTGGATTCCTTAAATTTCCAGATGTATTTCAGAAAGCCTTACAGATAAAAAGAAACAATTTTCATTTGCATAATCAGAAGTTTAACGGCAATGATAAGAATATTTGCAGCTTCATCTGCAGAAGTAGTATCAAGCTACCAGCAAAACTAGTACGTTATTTAAAGAAGTAATCTTTTAAGAGTAAGCCTGCATTTCCCTTGTCAGTTCTAAGCAAATATTCTTCCCTACCTCAGTAGGTGTGCAGATAATTTTCTTCTCTAAATGGAGAGAATACAACAAACAATTAAGCTGGTTAAATGCAGAATAGCACAGTATTTCCAGAATTATTTTAGAGATTATAAAAATATATTGTTTTAAAATACAAATAGCTGTTTATTGCAGGTAAACACTCTGACTAGTATTGATACATAGAGATCACAGACTTCTGAGTCAAAATACAATCTTATATTTTAAGTATTATGTCAATTGAAATTATACCTTTAAAGACTAGGATGCTGGTTTAAGTTTGTACGCATGAGACCACGTGCTGCTTGTTAAAAGCTATATGTGGTCAAAAGCCACAGGCATATACCAATTCCTTGGAGACTTGAGGAAAGAATGCTTCAGGAGTCTTATTCTACTGCAGTGTGGACCTAGATTAGACATGCAGATTAATTTTAACGTGACCTGGGGACATGAGCCCCTGCTGACTTGCACCCTCCCACAGCAGAATTCAGGTTACGTGGCAGTTTTAGCCAGCCTAACCTAGTCGCAGCAGAGGAACCTCACACAAACTCTTAGGAGAGTCGCGTGGCTTACCCTTGATTTAAGCGCAACAATTAAGAACAATTATTTAAAATAGTCTTTATTACTGACCAGTGGCAGGAGAGACTAGGTACAGCTAGTACAAAAACATAGTCTCAGAATCCAGTTATAACATCCCAGCAATGCTGAAGGGAACAAGCAACACTACACTGGTCAGCACATTCCCCCTTCCATTAGGGACTAGCGATTATTGAAATGAAGTACAGCTTCTGTTGTTTGATATGAAATGTTTTGCTTAATACGTATCTTCCTGATTAGAGGTTGGAAGAAAGATGGCTGAAACAACATGCAAACGTTACTCAGCAATCTTATCCCCCACAGGTTCACTTGTGCCAGCTTTACCACACAGCAAAGAATAACCTCTGCAGCAAGACTTGATAGAGGACGTCTGAAAAAGCTCTCAGAATCCCTTTTAAATATCCAAGTAACGGAAGAGCTACGTTGCCAGGGAAAAAAAGATCTAGGAAATCAGTAACATCTATACATATACCTACTTCCAATCATTACTAGCAGTAACCAATAGTTGAAAGGTATTTACTCTTATGAAATACCACTAACTACACAAAGTCACCACATCTGGAATTAGATCCTGAGAATTAGTCTGTTTAAGCACAATGTTTCTCAAGAAAGATTCAAGAGCCTTAGCTTCTTCATCTTCAGGAGAGCAACAGGAACATTTCTCATATGCAAGATACTACAATATCAAGCAAATAATAAATATCCTTAGATAAGCATTATGAAAATAACATTCAACCACTTCTAGATACAAGCAAATGCCCACTTCTTTAAAGGGAAATTTTGCAATCGCTCTGCAGAGTGAGAGGTAAATACTCCAAGACAAATGTTAAAAATGTTTAAAAAAACATTTATACGTCTTTATGTCTCTGATTTGCTAACTCTAACACATACGGCACTACTTCCTTTTTTCTTTTTTAAAGATAATCTGAATATTCTATAGAAAATGAGATTTTTAAAGACATTCAGTATTTTTAAACTATTGTCTTGTAAATATCTTTATGTAAATAGTAATAGTCACTACAAATATATTTATCCATAGTTTTCTATTAGCTATATTACATTTAACAAGCTGGACCAAATATTATTTTAAAATACATTATTTATAATTAATTCTTTTGCAGATGAGCACAGGAACTATTCACAGGAGTTGAAATCCCATCCATATCTAGAACCTTCACAGAAGTCTGCCATTTGAAACACAGCACTGTCTCCCAAGTTCATTTGTTAAAAAGCAATTAAGATTCATCAGTTACTCAATAAAATGTCACCAAGGAAAAAGAGGAGGAAACAATTCTGGAAAGACAGATAGAACAATATCTGCTAATACCTTTCAAGGTGCTATGATAGCCACCTAAAATCTAGCAGTCACAATATTTTTAATCTTACAATCAAGAAAGTTTGATTTGCGTTTAGGAGTTATCCCCTCACATACACGTACGCTTGTTTTCTTGAATGAGGTCAAATATAGGTGTGTGGTAAAGGTTCCATGTTTAAGACAAGCTGAAAAATCACACTTGCTGGTCACACTGAAGTCTTCCTTTCCAAAGGAAGAATTACAGTGCAGTTTCTCTTTCCTTGCAAATCTTTGTTACTTTCCTATCTACCGAAAAATTGCTTTATGTGCATCCCTCTCAACTTTTGATTGATTCAGCTAAAGGTAAAAAGATAAGTGATTGCTCTATACTTGCAGTCCAGCAATAAATAAGTTTTATTGCTGAAAATAAAGCTAAATTATAACCCTGCTATTTACGGAGCTTATGGATAGGTTTGCATTTGCATTGTGGTGAGTTTAAAAAGGTAGGGTAAACCAAAATATTTCAGACAGGGCGACTGCTCAGAACACGATATGTAGCCTCTAACTGACATAAGTATTTAATACTAACTTGATGTTTACTTAATATTGGAAATTTTAACCTAATATTTCCTTATCACTGAGATCATAGTGACATTTTGGTTGATATGCACAATTCTACTGATGTTACATTAATAGAACAGCTATATGAACTACAGTGAAATGTCTCAGGAATAGTGAAATATAGCTTTTAGATTCCTTAACAGACCCTGAAGAACCAGATCATCAGAACAAGTGTCTTATGCTCACTTAAATATAAAATCTTGATAAAGAGACATAGAACGTGGTAGTAAACTTTTCATTCTACTAGTCTTAGACAACAACGCTGATGCCAAAGGTACTTTTAGAGGCATGGATTTAATGAACTTTCAAGAAAGATATAATTACCTTATGCTTGTGATACGCCAAGGTAACACCTAAATTACTTTTCACTGCAGGACTAATTCCCTTAGGAGTGCTGATGTTTGTTCTCAACATTCTGTAGTAAGAAGTAGAGGTTTAAGAACTCACAACACACACACACGAACTGCATTCATAAGATAACCTTGCACTGCAGCAGCTTCTGAATTAGCAGCAGCTTCCAAGTTAGCAGCAGCTTCCTCCTGTGTTCCCTCCACAGCAGCTGGTAAGCCACTCTCCCCTCCAGTTTCTGAGGATACCTCAGAACTCTCATCCTGTGCTGCAGGTCCAGCAGCAGTTACTGTATCAGTCGCTTCTGTGGCTGCTTCTGCTTCAGTGACTTCAGTTGTCTCCTCTTCATCACCTTTTAAGGATTTATTTAATACAATAAAGAAAGCGTAAAGTGCATGCATGCAACATAAATTCAGCAACTGCTTTCTACCATCAGTGTTTCAATTTAAAATGAAAAGCTAAGTTTTGGGGTCAGAAACAAAATCAAGAAATTAAGATTTTTATCTACTCATCTCACCTAAGGTGGCACCAAAAGAGATGTTTACAAGATCAGGAAACCATATCCTTACTTACTGAGTTTCATAACTGCTTTACTGTAATAACAAATAGTGCTGCATAAAGCAAGTGACTGTAAGGCGGTGGTGGTGGTGTGGCGGTGATAGGGACCACGTCAAGTGCATCCAAGCCCACTTTCCTGTAAGAACGAGCGACAACACACCCATGGACTTCATGGGAATAGGATTCCTGTCCAGTTTGCAGTCAGCAGCAAGGTTATCAGATGTGGAGTAAGACATTCGCTGTCATACTTAAAAGCTTTTATGTAGCTCATCATCAGTCAGGTTCACAGCTTCTGTGCACTGCAGTGCATGGCGTGACTTCAGTTTGTGCAGGTAATACATAAGCTATTTTCAAAATGGCAACCTTGGCTGGAGATAACTACATCACAGAGCCCAACATATGATTAGTTTCTTGGATGGGTTTTGTGCCACCTCTTAGCTCTACACTGCCCTATTCACCTTGCTTGTTTTAGAGCTAGAGTGAGTGTACTGTGATCATGCTTCTGACTGCAGTGCAGACATCCTGTAAGAGCCATAGTACTCAGATAAGAAAGATAGGATCCGTGGAACAGACTAAACAAATAGGAGATCTAGGCTGAAGTTAAACACATAAATAAGAAAATAGCTTGTAATTTTTAAGCAGCTAGAGTTAGCTTTACTGGAGGTGCAACCACCCACGACTGATCATTTTCTCTTTGCAAGTCCCAGCTTTCTCTTAAAGAGCCGCCTACACTGCTGTGGGTAACACTCCATAGAATCAGAAAAATCCAAGGTTTCGGGTATTTTTGTTTTGTTTTTTCTTAAACGAGCATGCATTACTTCAAACTCAACTGAGAAAAACTTTAAAAAACTAACGGCACAAAGCAAGAGAAAAGACATGCACAAACACCATGCGAACATGCACTAAGATCAAGTTAACAAGAGGAAGTAATATAGCAAGTGTTCATTGTGAGTTTACCACTAGACCCAACTCACCAGGTGAAAAACAGAACTGGAAATAAAGTTTGAAATACAGTTGCAAACTAAGTAAGAATAGAAAAGGGAAAAAAAAAGGAGCTTAAAGAGACATAGTCAGAATTATTTTATTATTCTAGATCTGTTTAAGAACTCATCATTTTACATGTTGGTTTTTTTATGCCAGTTCAAGCCTACTTTTCATATATTCAAATTTAAACACAACTCTATTCATTGATCAGGGGAAAAAAAATTATATTAAGCAACCTGACCATGTCCCTTTAAGAGAATGCTATCTTTCAAAAAACTAAATTGATTACACAAAGAACAGACTAATAGCCAAGCTCAACATTCAGTACATTTTATTGGACAGTCAAATATAGATGCATTCATTCAGAACAGCCAGCTTCTCAATCTCAGAATTGCCTTCCACAGAGCAGATTCAGTAGTAGCTCAATATGGTTTGGCCTTGCAAACATAGATATTTCTTTTAAAGTCTCACAAGTACGAAGTTTTACAATAGAAGGCATAAAGTCATCCCAAGGTAGGCTGCAAGGTACACGTGAACGACTGTCCTTTGTTTGTATTTAACTTCCTCAGGTTTGGAAAGAGATTTCCCTTGTATTTTAGTCTGGAAAGTGTAAAAGCAAAGGAATGATTAGAAAGATTGAATCAGCTTGCACAAAGTTAAAAAGAAAATCATTGCTAAAAAAGGAGGAGCTCAGGAATAAGTGTCAAGGAGACACGGGAGAATGAAAGACATAACTCAGTATCTGCACTATTTGCCAAATAAGCAAGCAAAAAGTTCTGCAAGGTAAACATCATTTTACAGTTCAAACGATGTCCTAGGTTTCCTACTGCTACTTCTAGTCAGGCTTCTCCTAGGGGCTTTTTAAAACTTATCGCTACATGCGAGAGTAGCTTTCCATAAAGAAAAGCTACAGAAAATTGGCTCTTACATCTTTTTTAAATGTTCCATCTTTTTAAATACTATTTCAACCCACTAATAAACAAGCAAACCTGTAATAGCATTTGATTGTTTCTCCTGTTTTGACTGCCTTGTTTGCTACATGCTGTTCTTTATTATAAAGATTTTGGTTTTTGGACTCAAGGGGAGAATTTTCCCAGAATGAGGTAGCGGTGGGAGAGTAGGCGCAAACACTGTTGCATCTTTAAAATCATTCAGGTGAGGCTCCCTCTCATCAGCTGCTCTCCAACTGTAAGTATAAGTTTTTCCAGCTGGAAAGTTCTCTCCACCTTACCACAAGACACGCAGCAAATATGCCACAAATGTGCCATCTGACATGCAACTTTTCTATCCACCATTTCATATTGTTACCAACACTATGTTTAACAGCTTATTTTGGAATCTGATTTTATGTGACCTTAAAAATATCAGATTACTTTTGGAACAGGAGTTTTATCACTCTTATCAGCAATGCTTACTGTGGAAAAAAAAAAAAGTGTAAGGACTAACTGGATCTAAAGAATGTGGGGAAGAAGAAGCTGCAGTGGTACTTCCGGGAAAAGCAATACTATAGTAACAGTGTGTGACAAGATACACACAAAAATATGCTTATGCAAGGGGCGGGGGTGGGGAGGAGGACAGGAAAACAGATGTTAAGGCTTTTCAGAAAGCACGTAGAGTATTCCATAGGAAAAATAGGAGCAGAAGTCTCTTTTGGGAGCATGGATTTGGGAAGGACAAATGATTAAAAAAAAAAAAAAGAGAAGAAGAAGAAAGAAAGCCTGCAGAAAAAGGTATGTTAAAGCTGATTCAACAGTAGATTTGTATTGTTGCCTGGAATTAGCGCAAACATCCAATTAAAAATTTTGCATTGAATGTTTACTCAGGAGTCTAATATTGAATAATACTTCTAATACTAGAAGTATTCTAAACTTCTTACTATCCATCGTAACGGAGGCAGTACTCATCTGCCATTGATTGTGACATGCATGCAAGTTATTAAGCCACAGAAGGCATCAAATCATGGGATGTCTGGAGAGTGCTTAAAGTTACAGTGAAATAATTTACAGAGCCCTGAGTATTCTTACCCCAGTCACATGCAACACAGGTATAGCTTTCAGGGTGTGAGCAGTGCCATTAACTTTGCCGGTATCCCACTCAAACATTTTGGTAGGCTAGGGTTAAAATTTTCAATATCTAAGTGCACCCTAAGAAAAAAAAAGGGAATATAATATAATTTTGCATGCCCTGGAAGGTCTGTCTACTCCTTTTACAGCTACTGTGTTTTTCAGAGTATGCTTTAGTAGCCATCATTTCTCCTCTGAGCAGCTGAACACTAGGTAACTAGGAAAACATATCTGCTTTGGTTCCAGTAAAAATTTGTGGGGGGGGTTAGGGAAGGAGAGGTTGCATTTTCATCATTTGTGAAGAAGAAACAGCATATTGTACCAAAGGATGTCTAAATTTTCAGAAGTCCTGCTCTTTTTTTTTTTTTTTGCTGCTTTTTTGTTTGTTTCAGGGATAAGGAAGGGTGGCAGTTAGAACCTGGCCAAATTCTTGGTACCCAGAGAGGAAATTTAAAACCTGTATTGCTTTCAGCTAATAAAGAGAAGAGAAATAAAGGTATTTTGCCTTTTAAAATTTTAGTATCTGTAATTTTAAAGCTTTAAAACTAAAGAATATATTGTATAATTTTATTCAAGAAGACTAACAACTTCAAAAGAAGTAATTTTAGAGGCAGAAAGTTTAAAGCATGTTTTCACACCGTAAAGAAATTTTAAAATATAACACTTTCTATTCAAGTCTACTCTGTGTGCACACAACTATAATAAATCAGTTCCCTAGAATAAATATGAAACAGCTTCAAGTGCTATGGCTTCATTTTTTAAAGAAAGATTTTTTTTGATAACAACTAAATGTACACATAGAGAGAAAGATTCTTACCACACCATTTTTAATTGCTTTTCATAGCAAGACCATGCTTGCTAAACTTCTGTCTTTTAGATTAACTTCATTGTAACACTAATTGAGGTAGACACAAGCAACATTCCATCACAAGTATTTGATCTAACGTGGTCTAATTATTTAAGCAAGAAGTAGTAAGGAAGGAACTGTCATATATTTGGATGGTGTCTGCTTATCAGACAAAAATATCCTAAGATAAAAGTGACAAAGCCAAAGCTGTGGGACAGGAAATAGGTTTTATTTTACAATATTTTAAAGATATATATTTTTTCCCCCTAGCTCAACATACTGTGAGTGAACAAACACGTTCCCTGAGGACACGTGGCCTGGAGCCAAATGGTTGGCTGAGAGAAAGATATAATCTACCCCCCCAAACAAACAAAAGGACAAAACTGATTTTGACAGCATTATGCATTTAGTCAAGTTTCATTAAGCTTTCAGTCATCAAATGCTAATGCCCAATATACAATTAATGGTTCACATATTAACTCTTTCCATCCAAAGAGACTACTGTAGGTTGATCACAGGCCAAATACACTGCGTCAACACTAAATTCCTCTCCAAAATCTGAGTAGAAGTAGCTTTCTAATAGAAAGTTGTCCAAGTTTCGTGACCTCTAGTAAAGACTGTACAAGGGATGACACTGTTAAGGCCTGAGCAGCTCAGCTAGAAATCTGCTCCAAATTCACGTCCACCTGAGAGAAAGAAGAGAGCTCAACTCACCCTTGTGTGAAAGAGGTTTGTTTTTCCGCCCCTCAGCTCTTTCATGAAGAATATTCATATGTTCAATATACTTGCTGCGGGATGAACTGACTGTTCTGTAAGCCTGAAAGGAAATGATACATTTAAACCTACTGCTACATCCCTACAGTTACTAGGTTACATTAAGGGGGAAGAAAAAAAAAAAAAACACCAAAAAACCCGCACACTTTAAACAAGTTCCATTGCCTGTCTTGAAAGGCATGTGAAATCAATATAAACAAGGTTAAAAAAAATTGCTATACTAACATATTTATACATTTCATATTTCTCCATTGTTAGAAAGTAAAATACAAGCCAATGTGCAGCTTTCACAAAACACTGCAGTGTTTTGGAAATGGAATAGAATATTTAAACAGATAAGTATTTAAAAGGTAAGGTAATGAAAAAGTGACAGCAGTAGAAGGTATTATTCTTTTAGATATACAGTCACACAAACACCTTTAAAACATTCCGAACAAGTAGAAGCTACTTATCATTTAAGAGGATTATTTTGCGGGAGAGGAAAACACGTACCTCTTGGGAAGTACTAGTCACTATCTCAAATCATGGAGGGAAAGGAAGCTACAAAATGGAGGCTTTAGGGACATGAAGCACAAAGTCTGATATATTTAGATGAGAGGAAGAAGAAAAAATTGAAAAAAACACGCTTACAGAATTGGAACACGCTTGTCTAATAATTAATATTATCTTTTTCTTTGTGCCCCAATCATCAGGCTCACGTATCTGAACCCAGAAGGGGAAGAATAGCTTACTGCACACATATCTTACCTACTTTTATATGTTCTTAATGTTTGAGGTAGAAGCCTTATTCCATCTTTAGATGCACTCATTTCACAGTCTTAAGTATGTTTTCCACTGAAAATGACCACAGCCCCATACACCAATGTAACAGTAAAATAGACAAACAATAGGCATTCAGTTTCACTAGTTCTTTGAACTGATTTTTGACTTCTTACATTTCTTGTATTTTAAACTGTATTTAATTATATGCTATGTCATCTACATTACATTGACGCAATTTACACCTTCTTTAACCCAGAACACACTTTAAACCATCTCAACTCAGAAAGCACAAACAGATCCACTTCCAAACACTTACGTAATATAAACCACCAAAAGCAGCAACACCAGCAAGGAGATAGTAAATCATGCTCTCTCCAGAAGAGCCAGGAACACTCCCAGATGACATCTGCCGAAGAGGTGCTACGAAAACCATTGATATTAAGGTAAAGCGCTGCTAAAATACAATCACAAAATAGAATTATGGGATCTAAGCTATGTTTCTTTCTTTTTATGGGGAAGGATGATTTAAGTGTAAAACTGAAGCAAAATTGGAAGGTACAGCTTATCACGGTGTTTAGTACAACTGAGTACAACGGGGTGTGGTGCCTAACTAAATGAGATAAATGGCTGAGGCTGCTCAAAGAATTCAAGATTTTCGGTGAGCTACACTGCCTGCCTATCAGCTTCCAAGTACTGGATTTAGTCTACATAGACATGTCCTACCTAAGGACACGCAGAAGAACCCATCCCTATGCAAAATCCTGCTGCAGTCATAATCATCATAGGTAACAGACGCCCTTCAGTTTAACAGCAGGGCACTTGAAGAGAAAGCCTTTCCCTTTCCATTCACATTCCTTCATTCCCAAATAGACTGCTGGTCCTTAGATACATGCTAAAATCCATAACCTCAAGTGCTGGCCAATATGGCAGGCAGGCAGGCAGGATTACACAATTTTATCTCTGATTGAGTACTTATTTCACTACGATGGCAGTTCTTGCTGTCTATTTTTGTTCAGCTTTTCTGTGACTTTGATGCTTGCAAGAGCCTTGGAATTTTACTATGCATCTCAAAAAAGACCCATGAATAATACATATATGTAATTCTGTTCATCACCAAAGCTTTCAGCTGAATTTAATAACATCATGCCAGATGAGTAGCAGAGAAGCATCTCATTGAAAGGGCTCTCATTAAACATAAAAATGGTTCCAAGTGATGCAATCAGTAGCTGCAAGAATAGTCTCCAACTATTGCTATCGTGTGCCAGATCACATTTAGCATTATCCGTCTCATGACGCACTTTTCAGACTCTTCTTCAGTGTTCAGACGTCCTAATGGGTCTTCTAACAGTTATATGCACAATGCTGTAGCGGCTCCTCATCAATAATTTCCTGCCGAAGGTTGCAGGCTATAGGCACGACAGCGCTCAGCGAGCCCGCAATCACCCAGCACGGCTGGAAGGTTTTCGCCACTGGTTACACAACTCCTGATGCGGCAAAAGCCATGGCTGCAACACACCGCGCTGATTCACACCGTCTTTCCCAGAAAGAAAGACGCAGTGTTAAAAGCCTACAGATGAAACCACTGTACTGATCATCCACCCCCCCCCCCCGCCCGGAGTAGAAGGGAAGAAAACGATGCGCTGCCTAGTTTCGGGGCGGAGGAGTTTATATCTATAATTAATTCCAAGATCTATTTTCATCGAAAGGCAGGGGAAGGGCACGACCTCGTCTGCGCCGCTCCTCCACGGAGTGAGCTGGGCGAGCCGCAGAGCGCGCT